CGAGGTCTCTTTGCAAAACTTGCATGCATCTTCAACTACGCACTTCGATCTCCTGTTCGATTTTTTCGGTGCATCTTGTTTCATCAATATGGTTGATGGTATTTAAAGTCATTACCTCGGTCTTTGTCCGGCTGATGTGCAACCCATCTCTCTGCGCAAAAATGTTCAGGCGAGTCATCTTTTTTTTTGCATATGTTAAAGGGTATGCGATAGTAAGGCTAAGGCCTCGGCAAAATCTAGATCTTCCAAGTTTGTGAGATGCGTCCAGTTCATGCCTTTAGAATTGTCCTCATTTGTGCGACACATCATCCTATCGAATACGAGGTTGAAGAGCAAGGAGTAGAGAGCATTGCCCAATTACTGTCAGCCTGCTTGCGGTGGGAGTGCGACATAGACATGGGCCCAAATCGACAGTCACATTTTCCCCGTCCTCCGAAAGGGAGACCCAAAGCCCAAGTTTTTTTGGAGCTGCTGGCCTGCGACCCCCACGTGTTCTTGGCGTTTCTGTTGCTGTTGGTGGGGAATGTTGGGAAAAATCCCGGCCTGACTTGGATATGTGGCATATGCAGTGGACAATTCACAAAACGTCAATACTCTTTTCTCTGTAATAGCCTTACCCTACATTGAGTCCACAAGATCTACATAAACACACTACTCCACCAAACAATGTTACACAATCCCCTTTACCCCCCGACAGACTCAGAAAAACACCCTCAGACATCACTTAATGCAGATAATAAATACTAATGGACTCAAAAGCAAAATAGAAGACCTCAAACTAATCACAAAACAACACGACATAGACATCATCACAATTCATGAATCCAAACTTAAGGCAACGACTCGCACGTCCAATAACCCAAAAACACTGCTATTCGTCAAGATAGGGCACACAAGACAGGAGGTGGACTCATCACCTACATTCACAATAACATCGTTTTCACAACAATCACCATTCCACAACACATCAACCAAGAAGCCACTGAAACCCAACTAGACAAAATACACCATCAGAACACACCATCATAACGTATACCAACACATCACTGACTGCTTCACATACCTCCTCAACAAGCCTTACATTTTTATCTCAGGATATACTCGTATCAATGCTCACTACCCATCCTGGTACTGTCTCCCAACTCGGACCATAGAGGCAATCTAATTAACTCACTCATACAAAATTCAAACCACATCATACTCAATGAAAACTCGTTCACGCGCATACCCACTACAATAGGGCAGCAACCTACGTCACCAGACATATCCACAGCCACAGATGGCATCTCAAACAAGCTAACATGGTCAACTATCAAAGCTCTCAGCTCCGATTACATTCCTATCATATTACACTTGTGCACCGAAACCAACTACCGCACAAAAACCTATAACAGGTCTTTCACAAATTACCACAAAGAAGACTGGACAGAATATCCACAAGTAATAGACCAAGCACTCCAAGGCACTCCCTCACCCACCAACATTCACATCGCCTATAAAATACTCATTGGAGTAATCCTACAAGCAGAAAAACATCACATTCCAAAGGAAAAACAAAAACAAAACAGACACCTCTACCCGAAGTCATCAGAGACAAAATACAACAACGAAACAGCATCAGGAAATAAAACAGTCATGATCCATCAATCCAACAACTCAACAGAGACATGCATCATGAAATAAACACACACAAACACAACCTATGAAAGAACACCTCGATCAAAACGATTCTCTGGAAGACAATCTCATCACTCTCAAATAAAATACAACGCCAAGAATCAAACAAAACAATACAATTCATAACCACAACAGCACACACCGATAAATAGAAGGCAACACAATTCAATAAACATTTTATGAACATCAAAACTTACCGAACCTCACACAACAGGAAAACAGATAGAAACATTAAATTACTCAAGGGCAATCCAATAAACATCACAACAGACATGACCATACACACCATAAAAACAGTAAAAACAACAAATCAACTGGTCCAAACCAAGTTAACATACTCCATCTCAAACACGTAGGCCCAATAGCAATTACATATCTCACTCAAGTTTATAATATCGCAATAAAATCCAATACAATACCCCATACATAGAAGTTAGCCAAGATTATACCAATACCTAAACCCGGCAACGACACAAACATAATGATCTCCTATACACACCAATTTCACTTCTCAGCCCATTAACAAAAACACTAGAAAAAATCATCCTTTATACAATCACACCACATCTCCCCAATATTGAACACCAACGTGGCTTCCAGCAACGCCACTTCACTACCACAGCACTCCAACATATCACAGAACACATCACCGCAGGTTTCAGTAAAAAACGCCCTCCACTTAGGACAATAGTCATAGCATTATACATGAGTATATCATGTGATATGGTTAACCTACACACACTCGTCAACAAACTGTCCACAACCACAATAGAACACACTACACTCAAATACATAGCTAATTGCACTAGAGGCAGAAAAGGCTTCACAGATGTCAACAAAACTAATTTAAAACAGAAAGTATTCCAAACTGACACACCAAAAAGCGGAATCCTATCAACCACACTGTTTAACTAACATATACGTTTCTGATATACTCTCACCTTGCCCCAATATTAAAACTATTACATACGCAGATGACATAATAATCTTATCCTCCCGTAAAGACTATAACACTGCTGCACATTTACTTCAACTGTACCTACAAACCGTTCATACATGGACCACGGAAAACCAACTACAACTCAATGCAACAAAAAGCACTGCCACTCTCTTCACACCTGACCCGGTCGAATATAGCACAAAACTCAACCTCACTATCAATTCAATAACACACCCATTTCAAACAGTACGCAACCCAAAAATACTTGAACTTTCTTTTGACCCGAAACTCACTTCCAACACACACATCAGTAATACTCACAACAAAGCCAACGACACCATCAAAAAATCAAATCACTTATAGCCACACAACGGGGAAAACAAAAAGAACTTCTCACAACCACATTCCAAAGAATTACACTTCCAATCCTCAAATACGCAAACGCATCCTGGTCCCTAATCATCAATTTGAATTTGAAATCGCACATGAACAATTTCAACTCCAAAAAGTCCAGGGTTGCACGCTGACACCAACATCCATCACCTTTTGGGAGGTTTGGAGGAATCGTGGCTGACGTAGGAATTGGAGGTTTTACTGAAGCCTATAGTTAAGTAGGTTAATAACTGATTGTAAGGATAATAAAGGATTGAAGAGATATTCAGGGTAGTTGATTCCGGTGAAAGGGGTCAGAGCCTGCCTCAGTTATGAGATGTGAAACGATGGCCAGAACCAATCACGTAAAATCTGCATAAGGGGTGTGGGGTTTTTAGATGATTGGCTTTTGAGATCAAAATTTATGTCGACGAGGCCCAGAAATTAGGGTATTCAGGAGGTTGATGCATGATAGGTTTTACAACTTTATTCGGTCGCTATAGAAGGAGAATGCCAGGGATTACAGACTGGTTAGCAAAATATGGAACCAAGAGAGACAAACCGATAAAATACAGGAAGGAATATTGGAAGTGTTCTTCATGTAACACGAGACCTAGTGGTTAATTCACTAAACAAACACAAGGAAACTTGACAACCGTCCGCTATCGCCCTTCTTGTATTATTATTATTATTCGGTGGGTTGACGGACTGCTACACTTTATACGATTCATTCCGTGAGCTGCTCTTGTTCAAAATTATTGGCCAAAGCGATATGTTGTGCTGATGAACTGCTCGGCAGGTCTGAGGCCAGGCAAGTGAACTGGCAGTGTCTCCACCCAATAGTGTGTGCAGACTGAGGACCTGAACTCCGTGCGATTGTAACTTGCGACGCAGCTGCGATCGTGCTTCGTTGTACTCTTTGCATGCAATGAGGTAGTGGTAGGTTGTTTCGGCGACTTGACACGAGGTGCAGAGTGGTGACGGGGCTTGACGAATCCGGTAGAGGGCTTTATTGAGTGGTGCTGTTCCGAGACGAAGGCGAGCAAAGAGAGTCTCAAATCGGCGAGACTGAAGCGTGCGAAGAGACCATGGTCGGACAGAGAGTTTGGTCATGCCTAAGGCAAATTGACCGCGTGCTGAGGTCCATTTTGATTGCCAAAACCGCAAGACCTCCTGGCGGACCATAGATTTTAGTTCTGTTACGCCAAGAGGAAGTTCAACCGGGATGCTCTCTGATGAGGCTGCCCTCCTGGCGACCTTGTCTGCGGCTTCGTTCCCCGGCACGCCTGTGTGGCTGGGAATCCACTGGAACTTGACTGCTCCCGCTGGTATTCGGGTGAGGAGGTTGTGGATTGAGGCAATGAGGTGCGTGTAGCTAGTTTGAAGTGGTTGAGAAAGCAACTGCAGGGACGACAGGCTGTCGGTGCAGATGACACTTGGCCAGATGCGATTTGCGGAGAGGTAGGTCATTGCTTGAAAGATGCCGTAAAGTTCTGCTGCTACAATCGAGCGCCTTGAGTCCAGTCGCCACCCCTCTACGTGGGGAACCGACGGGATAACCATTCCCGTGCCCACTGTGCGCGGTGGGCCCATTGAGAGTGAGCTCCATTAATACTGACACGTTGTCGCCTCCCTACTAGAAAATCTCTGATCCATTTGAGTACATTACTCTCAATTCCCAAAGACTTCAATTTACGCAACAGCCACTCATGTGGGACTCTGTCAAATGCCTTGGCAAAATCAAGGTACACTGCATCCACTAGCTCCCTTTCGTCCTGCAGGTGGGTCCATTCGTTCAGAGTAGACAAGAGGTTAGTGGTGCAGGATCTCCCGGCAATAATGCCATGTTGATAGTCTGATTGGAGATTATTAGCAGTCAGATGATCTATCAATCGATCCCTCACAACAGATTCCATTACCTTGCAAACGACACTTGTCAAACTGACAGGACGATAGTTGCCCGGGCAGCTTTTGTCACCTTTACTGCGTTTACTTCTTACATTATTTACAGGCCTGGATCTATGGACATGACTTCTTACTTGTCTTCCAGCTCCGCTGACTGACCGTGTGTGGCCGGTGTTGTCTTGTCATATATTGTTCCTATGTTTGTTCCTATATTGTTTTTTCTCGATTCTGCAATAAAGTTACCATTATCAAGAAAGTATAACCACAATCTGCGGCAGCAAACAGTGTTTCCTACATTTGCAGGTTCATTGGCAAACAATTTTCCATCTTTCAAAATTTCGAAGAAACAAATTTTCACATTTTTTCAAACAACCGTGATTAGATATATCAATGGCAAAGCATTTATGGACATTTCCAAATCAACAAAAAAGTGTAATTATATTACTAATTGATTATGTAGGGTGATTTTAAAACAAATTTTCGGGGTTTGTACCGTGCGCTAGATAAGCATATACTATAATTCTTCAATTCTTGATTATGGTGAATGACTCCCAAAAGTTTCTAGTCATGGCAATGACTCCCAAAAGTTTCTAGTCATGGCAATGGAGGAGAACCACAAGAAAGAATTGAGCTTGTTGCGTAGCGAATTACACTCGTTAAGAAACGAGCTTGTGGGAATGAAAGCTCATCTGCACAAAACAGAAAATAGCGATAGCACTGAAGGTAAAGGTGGCAAAGATGTCATCTCTGATCTCGCCAGCGAGAGCACTCGTGAACTACTGGATAGAGAGAGAAGAAGTCTTAACCTTATTTGGTTGAACGTTCCCGAAAGCGATGCTTCGGATGCTGCGTTTATAATTGATTGTTGTGCCAAGGCACTTAACGTCGTTGTGAATATAACGGCATGCAAGAGGCTGCGATCGAAAGACGCTACCACCTGTAGACCGCTGCTGGTAACTGTGCAGGATACAGTCCAGGTCGGAAATGTGCTTAAGGCTGCGAGAAAACTAAGTGAATTCCCAGAGTTTAATTCAGTCTTTGTTAAGGGGACCGACCTAGCTAAAATTTGAAAATGTTGAGTTTTTCTGTTTCTTATCTCATCTTAAAGGTTGTTTTCTTGCGCATCGAACGATATAAGTATCGTCCCTGTGCGTCGAAAAATGACTTTGTGACAGCTCCTCAAAGGTTTCTTATTTTTACATTTTACGTATGTATGTGAAGTTTCATGATGATCGGATAATAACTGTAGAAGTTTCTCCGGAGCTAGGTCGGTCCCCTTAAGAAGGATGCTACCCCTTTAGAGAGAGAAAATTTTCGCAAGAAATGGCAGGAGAGACTCAGGCGGAAAAGCATGGAGACTCAGGTCAACCACTTTCACGATGTCAAGACAACACCGGCCACACACGGTCAGTCAGCGGAGCTGGAAAAGACAACTAAGAAGTCCTGTCCATAAATCCAGGCCTGTAAATAATGTAAGAAGTAAACGCAGTAAAGGCGACAAAAGCTGCCCGGGCAACTATCGTCCTGTCAGTTTGACAAGTGTCGCTTGCAAGGTAATGGAACCTGTAATACAATATACAATACAAAACAATCAAATACAATACAATACATTACGATACAATACAATACAATACATCACAATAGAATGCAATACAATACAATATACACCAGGCTGATGCAAGACTTTTACCTCTACAAAGACTTGCTGCGCGACAGGCCGAGCTTCGCTATTCTCTGTAGCGATAGCTTGTTTGAAAAAATGTGAAAATTAGTTTTCTTCTAAATTTTGAAAGATGGAAAAATTGTTTGCCAATGAACCTGCAAATTCAGGAAACACTGTTTGCTGCCGCAGATTGTGGTTACTTTCTTGATAATGGAAACATTATTGCAGAATCGAGAAAAAACAATATAGGAACAAACATAGGAACAAACATAGGAACAATATATAGTTCCTATGTGAAATGAGGCGCTTGCGTTCTGAATACGTGGGCGATACTAAGTTAAATAATGTCGGTACGTTTATCGAGAGACTGGCTGTAGCACAAAGTACCGTATATACGATTCTTCTTATTGAACTACATAATGGAACAACACTTGTCCGGTTTCATCTTAGCCTTCGGTACTGCATGTATGGCTGCATACTTGCTATTAGGATTGTATTATAAATGTGAATTTCCCATATTGTTGTTATCCCTGCCATATTGAAAACCGTCTTGAACTCATCAACAATCGAATTTAAGTGCGAGTAGCAGTCTCAGACATCTCGGTGAATTTCTTACTTACTTACTGCCTGTTTTGCCGTTCGGCACGTAGGGCAGCAACAAAGATACTCCACTCCCGTTTATCTCGGTCTAGACTCTTTATGAGGCACAGGCTGTGATTCCCCTGTTCCGCCTCAACTGTTCGGCGCCAGGTGTTATTGGGCCTGCCTCGTATGCGTTTTCCCTCTGGGGTCCAGTTTAGAGGAGTTTTCGTGATGGTGTTGCATCCGCTTCTTGTAACGTGACCGATCCAGTTCTACCGGTTTCTCATCAGAATGGTGGCCACACTCTCTTGCTTGCACTCACACCTCGTTAAATATTATCTTTTGCCAAAAGATACCTAGGATCCTCCGCAAGCTTCTGGGGCCGGATTAACAAAACATCGCTAAGTACACGTAGCGACTTACGTGTGGCGTAAGTGCTGATATGAAGACGTAACTCTAGCGGTGGTATTATCAAAACATTTACGCGGGAAGCCTTGTACAAGAAGCTGCGCTTAGCTCTACGCCTGCTCGGAGGTGTCGTAAGTGGAGTTACGTACACGTTTTGAGTGTGCCGAAGCAATACAAAGCTATTGATTTACTTGCAACACGGTGAATTGTGGTAGAATTTTGTCAATAATTCAACATAGGCATAATAGGTGACCGTGCTAACCGGAGTTTTGGAAAAAATCAATTGAGTTACTGCCAGCTAATTTCTTTTCCTTTTGTGCTATAATTTAAAAGCAAATGTTGACATTCATATCTAAGAGTTTCCTGATCATTCACTAATACAATATCTTCATGACTTTTTGATTCGAAATTAAGTGGAGGTTGACAAGCCAACCATTTTTCTAGCTACGTACACAAATCCCTTTCTTTCTCCGCTGATTGTCGCATCTTCAACTCACAAAATGTTCTAAATTCTATGTAGCTCCTTAAAAAAGTCCTCTAATTTTGAATGTGAACAATGTAATTTTTTGCCTTGATTGCGAAAAATTGCAATCAAGGCTTTCAACGTCTCACTCATTTCTCCATATGCTCCCTACTCAATTACCGCAGATGTCGCTGACACGATACAACCTCCTTTCATCCACGCGCACGGCGCACGGAGACGGCAGGAACTAGGAATAACAAATTCAGAGCCTCTGGTTGGTCAGTTAGCCAGATGGTTTTGATAATAGCTTTCCTAATGAGTCTTGCGTACGAAAGTTTTGATAATGCCGAAATTAGGGTGTACTTACGTAACACGTATCTTCTTGTACGTACGTATAAAAAGATACGAAGTTTTGATAATCCGGAACCTGTGGTATGGAAGACTGACAGCCTACTGAGTTCGATGTTATTCATTCGCCAGCATTCCGCATCGTACAGAAGGGTCGATAGTACAAGACTTGTACAGTCTCAGTTTAGTAAGGATGCTGTACTGGGTTGACTTCCAGATGTTACCTAAGCTACAGAAGGTGCCTCCGGCTTTGCTCAGTCTGCTCGATATGTTCCGGGCCACTCCTCCCTCTCGTTCCACCATGCTGCCCAGGTCGGTGAATCTCTCATCCATCGGAAAGTCTTCTCCTGGCACGCAGATCGTTGTTTGGTTAGTATAGTAGTATAGTATAGTATCTTCGGCATTAAATAAATAGGCCTGGATAGGCCTGTCGCCGATTCTTGTACTTTTCTTGACTAGACTGGCCTTTTGATCAGATCTTTTCAACGGACGGTAGATATAAAATAGCTTCTAGATATAGATGTCTGCTCGTTGAAAGGCCCGTGGGGTGAAGTGTCGCGCCTATTCTTGTAGTATCTACTGCGCCTTTCCTCCGGCACCACCAAGAGGCTGGGCGCTGGTCACTGGACAGTGTCGCAGAGGTTACTCCAAAATAGCTGTGTTTCCTAACGCCGAGCCCATTAGATTAGATCAGCTTTTTGGATAACATGCGGATAATCTGAGGAGGTTATTAACAGCGGAAAATAGTAAAGATTAATTTGAGAAGTTCTTCGGAATGATATTCAAATCAGAGGCTATGAAAGTTAAATGTTTCGTTAAATATAATAAATTCTTAAAGAGCTGTCTTCAATATCAGCTAACAAATTAGAAGAGTAGAAGCTTGTAATTTTTGAGTAGAGGGATATGTTATTATGTATATATGATAGTTTCCCACATATTTTTTTATTTATTAAGTCAATCTTACTTGATTCAAATATTATGTCAACAACAAAAATGACTGGACTGAAGCTAGTTTGGGTAACGCTGGCCTTGGAAGCGGTCACGGCGCAGAAGAGGTTAGGTTTACAAGGTTCTATTGTTTAAAAAATCAAGCCGTTGATAAGAAAGAATTGTACAAAAATGCTGTTATAAGATTTGTTATCACACATTTACTTTTAAACGCGGCTGGCCCTCAAAACATTGTAATTCGTAATTAAGTGTCGAATCGTTTCGTAAATCACTATTTCTTCTCGGGATCACACTCTTAAGGGGATCGGCTACCCTAAAATTTGAAAATTTTGAGTTTTTCTGTTTCTTATCTCATCTTAAAGGTTGTTTTCTTGCGCATCGAACGGTATAAGTATCGTCCCTGTACGTCGAAAAATGACTTTGTGACAGCTCCTCAAAGGGAGGCGGGTTTTAGGTCCCTCAACAAAACTCTACGAGGATAAATGACGCGCTGGTCACTCCACAAAGGAAGGCCTGGCATTAAGCAGCCAATCATGGCACTAAAGTGGGCATAGTCTTGTTTGAAAGAGCACTTTCTTACGCATCGATTGGTGGAACACCTGTCTCTTATACACATCTAGATGTGTATAAGAGACAGGNAAAGTACCCCTTTTTAGCCGTTTTCTATGAATTTCACGTTTTCTATCAATTTTTTCGAAAAATTCGTATGAGCAAAATGTTTTTCTTTTTACATTTTACGTATGTATGTGAAGTTTCATGACAATCGGATAATAACTGTAGAAGTTTTCCGTAGGGGTAGCCGATCCCCTTAAGTCGTCAATTCAAATGCAAACTGCAATTGCATTAAAACTCATATCAAAGAACGCATTCCATATAATGAAAATGAGTCTGCCCATCAATCCACGCTTAAGCTTCACCATTTTTCATGCCCAGGAATCAAAATATTAGCCTTTATATGAAAGTTTTGGCTCGGGCGATGAAATTCATGATCTTTCCGCAAAAGTCGGGAGAAGCGACATAAATTTATTTAACTTAAAGTATCACAAGAAAATAGAATCAAATATGAGCTAGACAATTTTTCTTTGCATTTGATTCAAAATATTAAAAAAATCAAAAAAATCAAAAAACCAATATCATGCAAAATTTTGAGAATCCATACGACTAAATTTATCTTATAATTCTCCATAATTTCTCGCGTGGCTCCAGAAATTCAAATTTCTGCATTTTTTATTTATGCACACAAATGGGTTAACATACCAAATTTCGACCAGTTATGTCACTGTCGTGGCTTCAAGTCTGGCACCACTCTCTCATTTAACATTTCTAGTCCTACCATATCCTAGTCCTGCCATTTCCTAATCCTACAGTGTCGTCCCAGTCCTACCATGTCCTTGTCTTACCATGTCCTTGTCTTACCATGTCCTTGTCTTACCATGTCCTTGTCTTACCATGTCCTAGTCCTACCATGTCCTAGTCCTACCATGTCCTAGTCCTACCATGTCCTAGTCCTACCATGTCCTTGTCTTACCATGTCCTTGTCTTACCATGTCCTAGTCCTACCATGTCCTAGTCCTACCATGTCCTAGTCCTACCTTGTCCTAGTCCTACCATGTCCTAGTCCTACCATCTCCTAGTCCTAGCTCCCCGACTGCTTCTATAATACTCTCTGTATAAAACCCGACTATAATACTCTATAATACTCCCTGTATACTCCCCGAGAACACACAGTATACTCCCCGAGTAACTCACATTACTCACCGAGAAATTTGCTGAGCCAACTAAATTTGTTAGATTTGCGAACACTGTGTTTCTGAATTGACTCGTGAATAATGATGGAGAAAAATAAAAAATAATTAATAAATTAATGACTTGTCACTCTTTGGACATAAATATTCACTTCTGTTCGTGTTTTAAGGTCGCAATCGCCAAATGTGCTAAGTTTGGCGCAGGCTATCGAAAGGAGCGATACTGAATCGCTGCAGCAAATCCTGAATGAGGGCGCCTTTCATGACGTCGAGATCAGAGAGCAGCTGTTGCTGCACAAGGCGGTGCTGAAGGAAGGCAAAGGGTCAATTGAACTACTGAAACTTCTGCTGCCTCATGCTACACAGCAAACTCTGTTTGCTAAGAACGAAATAAAGAAAACTGTCCTCCACGTGGCTGTAGAAAACGCAAACGCACTTGACGAAATCTCGAAATTAATCATTGAGAAAAACGATGCTCTACTCTCTGAAGCTGATGCGGATGGAAATACGCCTCTGCATTACATGGTAAAACATGATCGAACACAGCTGTGCTTGATGGTTCAGGATTACCTGACGCCTAAGGTCATAAACCAAAAGAACCAGGAATCGCTCACTGCCATTCACGAGGCAGCGATCGAAGCAAGCCCCTATATCATGAAGATTTTATTGGAGCGTGGAGGAAACCCGATGGAGTTGACCGAAGAGAAGTATACCCCACTTCACTTGGCCGCTCACCACAAGTCGGAGCAATGCGTCGCACATCTTTTAAAAGCCGTGCAAAAAATGAACAATTCCCAAGCAGGAAATAGCGATTCAACGCTCGAATTCAAGAACATGTGCACCAGCACGGGACGCACGGCTATGATGCTTGCTGCCGAATTGGGATACTTGGGCATTTGTAAGAAACTTGCGGGCACTGACGTGAACTTGAGATGTTCGGACGGTAAGACTGCCCTGCACTACGCGGCGTCCACGGGCATCGAACGAGTTATCTCCTATTTTGTTGAGGAGCTCGGAGCAGATTGTTCAATAAATGACAATGAAGGTTTTCTACCGTTAGTGTCATCAGCTGCTCACGATACAGAAGGTTTCGCATACATGCTGGAAAAAACTCCAGAAGATCTCCTGAATGAGGAAGTCATTAAAGAACTCATTGATCAGGCTGCTAGGAAATCGTTGAAAAACCTTGAAATAATGGCTAAAAAATCAGAATTTCAGAAACATTTGGAAGCATATCGTGATAAATCTAAAAATAGCTTACTTCATATCACTATTGTTAATGGAAGTTTTTCATCAGCGAAAGCTTTAATTGAAAACACCAAAGTGAGCAGAACGGAAACAAACAAAGATGGCAACACCCCACTGCACTTATTCGTAAAGAAATGTGCGACAAAATCAGTGCCCCAAGAAGAAGAGAGACGAATAGTTCGGAACGAATTGCTGCGAAGCGCCAAAGAGATCGTAAACTTACCCAACAAGAAGGGGGAAACCCCTTTGTTCTTGGCGTCAAAGTTCGGAATTCGGGATATTCTCTGCTCTATTTTGCAGAATAAACCTGATGTCCTGAAATGCACAACACAAAATCCCAGCAGTGCCGTGCACATTGCTGCGCAGAATGGGCACGATGCATGCTTGCGGTTGCTTCTCCGCAATCTGGGGCCAAATGGTTTTAGCAAACTTAGAAAAATGGAACGTCACCCACTGCATTTGTCTTCCAGGAATGGCCATTTGGAATGTTCGAAGCTCTTCCTGACAAATTCTTTGGTGAGTCACGCACTGATTTCATCAATTATTTTCACGATGGTTATATAACTCCTATATTTTATGAACTGTTGATCATTCACTAAGACTATCGTGACGTTTCAATAGCATGAAATAAATTCTCCTTTTATTTCAAGATATTTCCTTCATTAAATGATACTTCCTTGATAGGAACTCGAGCGCCTTGAAATACGAGCTGCCATCAAGCGTCTTGAAAATGTTGCGGCTTAGGATCGTCGGTATTAGAAGAAATTGAAAGGCACATTTCTAAAGATGGAATAAAGGTTTTGCTGATCACTCGCCCTGATCTTATTTAGGAATATAATATAAAATACATATTCAATTTTTGCCACTTCTCACCGCAGGGAGACGAAAATTACCTGGAAAATTTGAGATGCAAGTTCAAGGTTAAAACTGGTCAAGTTTATTATCCTGTAGACGAAGCATTTTACGGCAAACACGGTGAGCTCTTCAAATTCCTGCTTTCCCAAATGGAAGTCGATAAAGAGGACGATTTGTGCGTCCGACTACACAGATACTTCAAGCAGTGCCTGAATGAAGCAGAAATGTAAGTACATGTTGAACATTGTATTTCTCAGTGAAAAAGATTGTTAAAAATCATTATAATGCGCCTGTCGACAGTAAACTTCGTCGAGTGTGATCGAGATTTTGCATGGAATTTTGTGTCTTAAAACTTGTTTTGAATTAAGTATTTTTGCATTGATAATTTAGCCTTTTTAGAGGCAATATCAGGAATTCATTTAATAATAGCATTACTTGAAATAATATGATATAAACTCGGTAACATGTTTCTATGACGCCAATAGTTCGAATTGTTCCCTCTTGTCTCGTGCATTTATTGCGGTTGAACAAAATGATTTACGAAACTTGATGATGGAAAAAGCGAAAAAGTTTGTTGCCATTACGAACAACAAACTATAGATGCTTGCGCATCTTCCTTCAAAATTCTGTCCTTCATTTGGCGATTGAGACTTTAATATTTCATGGGAATCTCTATAATTTATAATTTACCCAATGCAATTTAATTTTGAAGGCCTGGCGATAATCAGGCCGCCAAGGATTCAGCCTTGAAAAATAACTCGGCCAAAGGTTCAGCCTCGACGATGCCGACCGCCAAAGATTCAGCCAAGAAGAAGCAGACAGTCAAAGATTCAGCTTTGACGATGCCGGCCGCCAAGGATTTAGCTTTGAAGAATAAGGCTGCCAAGAATTCTGCCTTAGAGAGACAGGTTGCCAAAATTTCCTCTTTCAAAATAGCTGTTCTTGAAGCAGTGATTGAGAGTCCGTGGTGCCCCGTGGCTTTTGACGTACAATTCTGTAATAATATTCACCAGCATGTATCCAGCAGCAGCCAGGAAGATGTTTCTGAAGAAGAAGTAAAACCATGCGACTCCTTTGCAATGCTCATCACACAACACCCGGACTTGGCCTGCCGAGCAATGGACAAACATATTTCTCCTCTAGACGGCAACAATGAACTTCACGACTACACTCCTTTTGAGTGCTCATATTACAGGATAGAAGGTGAGAGGAGGCTGGATAAAAAGAATATAATCTGTTTCAATTCTGACGCCTAAATTATTCAGGTTTTATAAGAATTAACTTGATATTTTGAAACGCGCTAGTTATTTAATTGCTCACAAGCCCTCATTTTACGTTTAAAAAACAATCTTTTGAGGGTAGTTGAACTCGAGACGGCCTTGACGAAATCTCTGTTCTAGTATATGTGTCGTGCCGAAATCGCGGAATCGCCGATTCTATGGAATCGGCAGCCAGTTGGAATCTGTAGAATATGCATTACTATACTATAGGAATCTGGGGTTAGGTCAGTGAGCCAAGTTATTGTTTTTAATATTTAAATATAAAGGTACTTGACCGTACTTGACCTAACCTTTTCTAACTCTAACGTCCGATTTTCTGAATCAGCAAGAAAATGCTGATTCTGCAGTTCGGCAACTGGCTGCCGATTCCATATAATCGACAATTCCGCGATTTAGCCAGGACATATGCATGCAATTAAACTATAAAAAATTCTAAGACCGTCATAAGTTGGCTAGTGAGAAAATGCAGAAATTCTCCAGAATGACCAAAATATAGACATTTTTATACAGGCTTTCATTCGTGTTTTATTTCATTTACAGATAATCGAGTTCTGTCTCCATTCACGGAGATGAAGGTCTACCTGGAAAATGAAGGTCTACCTGACAGTTCTAGATGTCAGATGTCATGCTCTGCTGCGCCTAACAAACAGAACCATCTAGAAAATGATGCAAAAGAATTCAGCAATGTGCGCTGGTCCAGAGATCATCCTCTCCTGAAGGCTGTTGGGAATCGTCAGGAAGATGGCGGCCGAGTGCTGTGTCATAGACTAACCAGGTGCGGTGGTTTGTGATCACCTCTTTTCAATGCATTTTATTTGCATGATGAGCTTTGAGGAGAATGGATTATTGGAAATAAGTGATATTATAATTATAAAAATAGGCAGCAAATTGAGCTTAGAGAGGCTGATACTTCTACTCTGCCCGAATAATACTTTTCTAATTTGGCCTTGCTGTATTTCGATCCACAAATGTTGCTTCTTGTCTTATTACGCGTGATCTCATCACCAGGCACAGAAGGTGAGTGGAAGTTCAGTAAACTCTGTAATTTTCCATGCAAATAACTGAGCAGTTTTAACACGTTGACTACGATTGCTTCATCTTGTACTATTATTTCATTTTTTTTGTACTGTTTTTAAACAGGGTTGCCAGACGGTAATTTTTTCCGGCAAATTCCGTGATTTAGTTTTTCTCAATTGCGTTGGCCGGCTAAAATTTATGATAAGGGTACTTCCTAATTGAATTTTAAAAACGGCAAAAAGAAAATAAATGGAATTTTTATAGCGGAACCTACAAATAAACTAGTATATATTGAGTTATCGGCCTTTTTTGTTCTCGGATTTGGCCGATTTACATTGTTATAATTAAATTAATATAATTAATAACCAACGTATTGCGCTGGTATTGGCAGTTATACTTTCTATGACTCTTTTCATTGTTATAATTAATTTAATATAATTAATAACCAACGTATTGGTATTGGTAGTTATACTTTCTATGATTCATGACGCTGTGATAATTGATAACTTTCTATGATTCATGACGCTGTGATAATTAAATTTATATAATTATTAACCAAGGCATTGTATTGATATTGGCAGTTATACTTTCTATGAATTTAGTCACTGTGATAATAATTCAATAATGAAAAATAATTTTACAATGAATATATGAATACATTAAAATAAACGTAAAAACAGAGCCATATTTATTAACTAAGAATATAACTGACAATATAATTGACTATATAACTGAGAATAAAACTGAGAATATAACTGTGAATATAACTGAGAATATAACTGAAAATATAACTGAGAATATAACTGAAAACTTAACTGAGAATATAACTGACAATATAACTGAGAATATAACTGAGAACATAACCGAAAATATACCTGACAATATAACTGAGAATAAAACTGAGAATATAACTGAGAATATAACTGTGAATCTAACTGAGAATATAACTGACAATATAACTTAGAGTATAACTGAGAATATAACTGTCAGTATACCTGAGATTATAACTGAGAATATAACTGAGAATATAACTGAAAACTTAACTGAGAATATAACTGAGAGTATAACTGAGAATATAACAGAATATAACTGAGAATATAACTGAGAATATAACTGAGAATATAACTGAGAATATAACTGAGAATATAACTGAGAATATAACTGAGAATATAACCTGTCTCTTATACACATCTAGATGTGTATAAGAGACAGGTTCTGATGGAACCTTCGTAGTTAGTATAGTCCGAGTAGATTGCTCTGACTACACAGTTCTGATGGAACCTTCGCAGTGAGTACGAGTAGACTGCTCTGACTGCACAGTTCTGATGGAACCTTCGTAGTTAGTACGAGTAGATTGCTCTGACTACACAGTTCTGATAGAACATTCGTAGTTACATCAGAGAAGACCATCAGACAGAGGAGCTGGAGTTCAGTGGGCGCCCTCCGGTGCAGCAACTAGAGTGTAAGAGAACCCTCTAGTCTATCATACCTGAAACTGGCGATCGCTGCGGGTGAAACTAATTATTCATGGCAGTGTCACGAAACTGATCCTTATTTATTAGCCAAATTTTCTTATAATTACGTATGTGAAAAATGGAATTAGGGCTAATGTCAATCATAACACGCTTCTAAATTCGTTGACATTTAGCGAATGTCTGGCATTTAGAGACTTCTTAACAAGTTTTGACTTATTTCGTGAAAATTAAAAACAAGAAAAAAGAGACAAACTAGAACAATTTTCAATCGTTCTGATCGTCTCCATTGATGATTTGAAAGACTACAAGGACGTAAATAATTTAGAGTTCTCTTTCAAACCACCGAACTGATGGTGGTTCGGTGGCAACTTTTCGTTGCCAAGTAAAGACATGCTAAATTACGTGGGAAATTAAAAATTTTCACTATTGTTAATAATTATTTTAATTTCAGGCTTGTCTTATCACTATTCAGATACTCTTTTAGATGATAAAAAAAAGCTTCGGTGAAAATGGAGAATGTAATCAAGATGACCGCCAAACTGCTAGCGGTCATCCTGCTAGCTGTGGTGAAGGAAACTCAGGGCAGTTCCGATAGTACGTTCATCTCAGCCCCTGTCCCGGTGGAGACGCTCCTTGCAACTGGCGTGGCATCGAAGAACTACTCAGGCATGAGTGTCATCCGCTGTGCCAGCGTGGCTAAACAGAGTGGCATCTCCTACCCAGCTCTGTGCATGCACATCACCAGCGGGCAGTGCCTGTTGCTGAACTCGACGCACCCGGCCTTGTTCAACCGAACGTTTCCGGGTACCAAAAACTACAACTGCTACGTTCGGGAAACTTGTCCTCAATGTAAACTTGGATGTAAGTTGTTCACGGTATTGTAATTACAATATTTCGTTCCTAGAAAAACGTTGGAATTTCATTTCATATTCCCTTGACCGTGTGAAGGTAAAAATATGGATCGACATGACGATAATTAGGAGATACTTGTCATCTGTTATTAGATCAGTGGTTCCCAAAGTGGGCTATATCGCCCCCCTAGGGGCGGTGGAAAGATTTTGGGGGGCGGTAAGGAAGAAGAGGGCGTTTGGAGGGCGATAGGGGGGCGGTAGTCCAAAGTCAGAAGTTCGAACGTTTGTTTGACGATTTGTACACAACACGCGCAGCACATCATGACTCCCAGCGATGGTTTTTTCACCCAGATCTGTTTTTTTAACCTCTCCTGGGTTTACGTCTCGGACAAATTAACGGCCGGACTCGCGGCCGATTTCACGGCCAATTTCCAATTCTCTGTTCAAGTAATATCTCTCAAACTAATGAACTTACCTCGATGAAACTTGGTACACGTATTCATTGGGACCTAACGGTAATGTTAAGCTCGTGATTTTTTAATTTTGCCTTCATTTGTTTTTGCGATAGTTATATGGCAATACGGGCCGAAATTCACAGTACCGGGTAATCAAGAAATTTTTTCCAAACTATTGAGCAGATTCGAATGAAATTTTGAATTTACAGTCCTAACTACAGAATGTTAATGTTTAGCTCCTAAAAATTTATTCGATTGTGCCTTTGTTCGCGAGTTTTTTTATTTTTCACCTTCATTCGTGATATAAACAGCAATACGTGCTTAAATTCGCAGTAATCAAGAAATTCCTTCCAAAACTACTGAATGGATTTGAACGAAACTTAGTATTTAAATACCTAACCTCAGCCACGGTGATGTTTAGCTCGCTACAATTTTTTCGTTTTGCCTTCGTTTGCGAGTTATACGACTATACGTATACGGATATACGTAAACGGCTCTTGGTTAAACCGGCCGGTAGAAAAGCCGGTCGTTCCTCCTATATCTTTATAACTCGCGAACGAAAACAAAATAGAAAAACTGTCGCGAGCTAAACATCACCGTTGAGAGGTTAGGTATTTATATACAAAGTTTCGTTGAAATCTGTTCAGTAGTTTAGAATAAATTTCTTGATCGCCGCGAATTTAAGCGACAAATTATCCGGCGATACGGGCCGAATATAAGGAAGTGTGAAATCAAGAATGACTGTGAAATGAAAAAAAAAAACTCGCAAACGAAGGTAAAATCGAAAAATTTTAAAAGCCAAAAAAATCAACGCTTGGTAGTTAGGAATATATATTCAAAATTTCGTTCAAATCTATTCAGTAGTTTGGAAGAAATTCTTTGATCACTGCGAATTTCGGCCTTTATCGCAATATAACTCACGAATGAAGGTGAAATTTAAAATTTTTTACGAGCTAAAAATCAACGTTAGGTTCTGATGAATATATGTCCCAAGTTTCCTTGAGCTGCGTTCATTAGTTTGGGAGATATTACTTGATAATTGAATTTGGAGATTGGTCGTGCGACTGGCCACGAGTCCGGCCGTGAATTTGCCCGAGACGTCCTAGGTTTCTAGTACTGAAACAGTTAAAACAGCTTAAAAACATATTGGTTCACTAAATGGGGTTCTATTCGTGAAATACACATTTGTGTTTAACATTTATCTATTAAAATTGCAGCGTACTAAATTTCAAGAAAGAGGCGTATGTTTTTATATGTGTCTGTTGGGGGGGGGGGCGCTAGAAGTTCACTAGGGAGCCAAAGGGGGCGCCAGCCTGAAAAAGTTTGGGAACCACTGGACTTAGATGAAGAATGAACACTTCGAAAATTAGAAAAAGTGTGAAATTTATATTATACCCGAACAATAAACACAACCCTATCAAGGTTTTGATTCCTGTCAGCGGCGTGCTCTAGGACGCCCCAAGTTCGCCTAGCGGTGTATATAAGCGGCTTTTTGTCCGCTTTAGGTTCAGGTTGTACGAGAGAAATAAGCACCTGATTAGGATCCGGTGTATTCCTTGACAACGGTGTGGCAACTGCGGGGTGCGCGTATTTTGTACCTGATACGTTCGGGACAGACATGGCCGAATCTGGAGAATGCGTTAAAAATGCGGCCTCCCCCCCACTTTATGGCGGAAGGAGGGGGCATTTGAATCGCTGTTCGCTATATATATGAACAGACTAGACATATGTCACGGCGTCACAATGAAGCCAGTGGCAAGTGAACACGAGTTTGAAATGGGAATAATATCAGTTAATACAACTTTCAACCCCAACTTTCCATATTACTCATAACATTATCCAATATTTACCAGAATGCAAAACTTTCATATTACCAGAGCAAAGCAATCTTCAATATTCACCACAACTCAGCATTCTCACACATTGCCAAAAACCTAACATTCTTAAATATGCAATAGCACTCTACGATCAGCATTCTCCAATATGCAATAGC